TTTCATGTACATTCAGATCCTCAGGATTTTCGTCGTTACTCTCAATAATTTCATCCTGAACTTTTTTAGTACGCTTATTCTTGATACCACTTTTAGACCTGGTTTGTCTTTTAACCGGTACTGTTTCTTCAAGTGGATCGACATTATCCGATTCAACATCAGGTATTTTTCCATGTACATTCAGATCCTCAGGATTTTCGTCAATAATTTCATCCCGAACTTTTTTAGTACGCTTACTCTTAATACCACTTTTAGACTTGGTTCGTCTTTTAACCGGTACTGTTTCTTCAATTGGATCGACATTATCCGATTCAACTTCATAATCTCCGTCAATAAATTCATCTCGAACTTTTTTAGTACGCTTACTCTTGATACCACGTTTAGACCTGGTTTGTCTTTTAACCGGCACTGGAACTAATTTTTGAGCACGGCTCGAAGAGCGGCTCCTAGTGTTAATTCTTTTAATTTCACTATTGTCAAGTTGTTCTTTAACTTCACTACTATCAATTTCTTTATCTTCATTAATATCAATTTCTTTATCTTCATTAATATCAATTCTTGTAACTTCACTATTATCAACTTCAGCAGGTGTAGCTTCATTATGATCAACTTCAGCAGGTGTAATGTCAATATTATCAACATCAGCAGGTTTATCAATTTGCACAATTGGATTAATAACAACAGCTGGATTATCAACAACAGCAGAATTATCAACAGAAACAGTAACTAGATAAGGATCAGGATCAATATTTGGAAGTTTTTCAATTAAAGTATGACCACTAGTCGTGCTGCTAGCTCTACTTCGTCCTACGCCTCGTTTTCGATTGCCGCCTCTAGTAGATTTTGGTTTTCTACCTCTCTTTGAATGAGATGTACTTTTTATTGGGATAACAGGCAATGTGTCTTCAATAAGATCAGCATTATCCGATTCAACATCAGAGATTTTTTCATTTGCATTCAGATTCTCAACATTTTCGTCGTTATCGTTATCGTCAACAATTTCATCTTGAACTTTTTTAGCACGTCTACTCGTGATACCACTTTTAGCTCTAGTTTGTCTTTTAACTGGCACTGGATTTGATTGTTGAGCACGACTCGAAGAACGCTTTCTAGTGTTAATTCTTGGAACTTCATTATTATCTTGTTTGGCATTTTGATTAGAAGATCGTGTTTGAGGTTTAGATGGTGTTTGAGGTTTAGATGATGGTTGAGGTTTAGATGATGGTTGAGGTTTAGATGGTGTTTGAGGTTTAGATGGTGTTTGAGGTTTAGATGGTGTCTGAGGTTTAGATGGTGTATGAATCTTACGAGTTCTTGATTTTGTATTTAGGGGGATACGTGGTTTTGGAGGAGGTCGTTGACGTTTAGCAGATGTACCCACACTGGGACTATCCAATGTTTCAGAATCCGATTCATAATCATCATCATCACCCATTTTCCATTCACCATCTTTTTCTTTTCTTTTACGACTATAAATTGGCCTTGTGATTTTTACAAGTTTTTTAGATTTAGCGGGTTTTTCTAATTTTGTTGGTTTGGATTGTTTTCGTTGAATATTTTTACGTTTTGGAACAAATTTCACATTATTTGAAGTCTTTTGAATAGATAACTTTGGAGAAGTTTTAATTCTCTTAGCACGCCTGGTCGCAATAGGTGTACCAGGGAGTTTATAGTTTGAACCGATCTTCCTTGAACGAAGATCGTGTTTCCGTGAAAAATTATTGGAATTATTTAAATCTTCAGTGATGCTAGAAACATCTTCAGAGATTTCTTCTCTGTCACTTTGTACTGGAGATAATTCATAAGTATGATCATCTGATTCAACCTGATGACCATGACCAGAATTTGAATTTGAAATAGAATTATCATCAACATCAGCTTCGTTCTCTGTTGCTGAATGTGACGTTGAACGAAGGGGATGTTTACGTCGACGTTTTCTTGATCGTCTTCCACTTGGATAAGAATACCGTGGATAACTATAACTAGTCTTGTTTCTATAATAATTTAATTTAATAAGATTCAAAATATATACTAGTTGATACTAGTTAACACTAGTTGACAATAGTTGATAATAATAGGTATTAGTTGAACAGTAAATAATTTTATTACAAACCTTGGACGCATACTACGCCTCGTTTCAGAAACGGTGGGAGTAGAAGTCGTGATGTCATCATCACTTTGTGGATCCACTTTAGCAAATTCCATCGTTGAAAACATATTAGACATATTTTCAAAATAATCACTTTGCCTACGTAACGCATCACCAATCTGTGAAACCAAATTACTATTATTAATAAATTATTAAATTATTAAATTATCAAATTCTAAGAAGAAATTTCAAATAAAAGCACCTTATCCATGAAGGTCCAAGAAGGCACCTCCTCATATGACTCTGAAAATTCATCATCATCATACTCTGAATGTTCAACATCTGAAGTTACAATAGCTTTTTCCGATAATAATTTACCAGTATTTCTGGGAATATTTTCTGAAAGTACTTGAGGCTGAGAACCTGGTATAGTACCATGTTCACTTGAAAGTCCTGTATCTTTTACGTTAACAATATTATTATCTGGTATATTTGATTTTATAACATCTTTTTGAGAGTTATTTTCCGAAATAAAGGGAACGCTTGCACTTTGTTCAACACCATATAAAACACCATCGTACCCCACATGACTCGGCATTGACAGGTTATTTATGCGATCATTTTGCAAAATATGAAAATAATCGTTATCATGCCTAGTAAACATAGATTCATCTTGATATTGAGATAATAAAGGCCAATCATGTTCAAGATCAGTAGTTGGCACGTTTAATTGGCCTACGTGCGAGGGAGTATTCATGATCAATCTATCATTATCATTTAAAAGTCCAGCACCAAGTGTGGAAGCATTTTGATTAACACCAGAACTTTGACTTGAATGCAATATTTCTTGCTGCGATAAATTAGTCTCGTTCTCTCCTTGATAGCTATGAATATACGGCTCTTGAGAGCCCTCTGGTGGAGTGTTTGGAAACGTATCACTTAAATCGTGAGGAAAAGAAGGGACCGAAGTAGCGCTTCCTAGTAAAGGATCTTCAGAGAAACACGCACCTGGGGGAAGGTCAGATAAAAGACTAGAATCTCTAGTCATTCGAGGGTGGCTTTGTTGAGAATTGGAAACATTTTTTGGAAGACTTGTTGGTTGAGAGGTGGAGACGGAATTATTTGTTGGCGGAGATTGAGCGTTATCAGGCGTTGGATAATTATTTGTTAGCCAGGCATTATTGCCGGACATATAAGAGAGTGCAGGTGATGAGGAAGCTCGAGGCATATTTCTTTTGTATAATTAAGTATATTACACTTTAGCTTTTATGTTATAGCAAAGAGCTAAAACTATACACATTTTCTATCTTGGTGTATTATGGAAATTCGCAAATCTCAAAAGGAGGTGGGTAAAAAAAAAGCGTGGTGTTGTTTTGTGTGACTAGTTTGCAAGTTGACTTTATTCAATTTTTTTAGTTAGATTCTAAATAAGGAAGGTTGCACACCATATTATATTATATCAATCAATAAACTGTATATTAGTTGTGAGTACAATTGTATATAAATATATACATTGCGTAGAGTGCTGTTTGTATTATCGTTACATGTATTATATAACACATACAAACAATTATCTTGAACCTTGTTTTTCTTTTCAAAGTGGATGCTGAGATCGATGACTCGCTTTTGACTCCTGTGAAATAATTTCTGTGAAATAATCTTTAATCTTAATTCTAATTCAACTTCTTCAGTGTGAATTGCTGATCTTTGGTGTTAAAAACATATTAAAGCAACATTAACTCTTACTTTTTATAAATATAATCGTCCGATCAGCGTCAAAAATGATATTTGTGCATTTGTTTTGGTAATATCTACAAATCTACAGATAACTTTTATTTTTTTATCTTAAGTAAAATATCCAAGTTATATTCCATAGTATTAATTAAATGTATTTTTGTTACAAATATTCTATATATAAATTTCAACAAATTTAATTAATGAATATCGTCATATATTTCATTTAAAGGTTTCAATTTTGTTAATCATTACGAATTTCACACATCTCACGTGTTTGTGAATTAAACTTCGTTTGATGATGAGTTTCGGAATTTAAATATTTCTCACTGATTGTTCAGATTAAAAATTCAGGGTCCTATGTTAGATATTGATTGGCGAGTTATCGAAAATGATAATGTGACTAAATGCATGTACGATGCGGATCTCGTACTTTTTAATAAAGCCGATTTGCCAAGTTTAAGATTTTTTTACACGGATAATTTTACTTTTCACGCTATTCTACATATAAATTTTTCGTTGCAAATTCTTTCTTGTATCATTGGATAGTACTTTTCTATTTTATGCTGTCATTGCTTTTTATATACTTGTGATACCTCCTTTTTGGTTAATGCTGATTGTTCTCTGTATTATCAAATCAATGCGTAATTGAAAAATAAAATAGTTCTTGTATTTAATGTACCGTTACGTACGTACCGCGCCAACTGGCATACTAATTTAGGGGTCGTCTAAAGCCGTGTCCATCACGTGACCTAAAGCCAATAGAATTGTTTATTTTGATCGACACGG